CTGTGTGTGTGTGTGTGTGTGTGTGTGTGTGTGTGTGTGTGTGTCAGAGTGGTCTAAAGTTGTTGGATGCAAAGCTGATGGTCTGCGATGCCAACCCTGCCACCAGCTAATTCACAATTTAAAACACGCATTTTAAAAAAGAAGGAAAACAAGGCTCCTCCCTCCTACCCACGTTACAATGGCCAACCTATTCCATGCGGCGCTGTCCGAGAAGCAGAGTAGGGGCCAGACATAGAATGCACCGCATCAGAACCTGCTCCCCAGGGGGTGAGCCCTCACTGCTATGGAGTGGATGATGGACCAGTCATCACGATCCTTTAGACTAGGGTAGAACTGCCCTGAGACGATCACTGGGAGTCAAAAGCCTCATCTTTCACCCACAGAGCCACTGGGGGTTTCCAACCACTGACCCTGAGGGTAGCAGTCCAGCACACCACCACTGTACAACCCATCCACCTCTGCCACTGCTTTCCCATCTATCAATGGGAACAGACAGAGCACAACCCTTAACCTATTACCGAGAGCACCAAGTGGCTTCATGGCTACCGTGCCTGGCCCTCAGTACTCCATGGTGCCCACACCTGAGAAGATAGACAGACACCAATATCTATGCCTACACTGAGCATTTGCATGGCCCTCAATGCATACCCATCACGCACTCCTCACTGAACAGGGGTGCCAGGTGGCAAGATTGGCTCAAGAAAGGATTACAACACTGGTCTAGACATTTCCTTCGGAAAACGAATTTGGGAATGTAACAAACGGGGTCCCACCACACCGGGAAAAAACAACAAACCAGCTTATGTCTCTAAGAGAGTGTTGTGTTCCCCCTTGGCTGAGACAGCCACCCAGACAACCCCCATCCGGCGAGCTGGCCCCAAAGCCAGACACCTGCCATCTTGTCCTCCTGCACTGACAGCAGAATAGCACTTAGATAGCCAGTATCTGACTTCGGGTGCGGAGGTCATTCGGGGAGGCTTGGTCAAAACAACCCTTTATGCAGAAAACACATATTTCCTTGTTGCTTCATTTTCCTAAGAAACCCCCACTTCCATCTTTGTAAGTTTTAAAATGTTGGAGCTGAGCACATTGCAAATGCCGTCTGCTGGGGAATCGGGACACCTGCCTGTCTTCGTATTCGTAGGCATGCTTCTACAAATCGCTTGGAAACAGACACACCGCTCACACCTTCTCTGCTCTTGGCCTCATGGCTCTGTCGGAAGACCAGCTAGGAGTCCCCGTCCTGCATCACACCTTCCCCATCGGGGATTAGGGTACCTGTGCGAAAGCTTCTCAGCAGCAGCTCAGTCCCTTGAACTGGACAATTATCCTTGACCACAGCAGCAACGGATTCCCAAAATTTCCAGATGACCTGCAACCGCAGGCTGATCTTTTTTTTTCCCCACCCCCACCCCCTAGCGATCAAGCCCGTGGCTGACTCATCAGAAGAATGGAGCTGCACCCTACTCTGATAGGGGTGGATTTGGGACGTCTTTGACTCCAAAGAAGATTGTAAATTTTAAAAGTAAAAAAGAAAGAAAATGATCCTGCCTGCATGTGTGACAGCAGTTACTGTTTGGATTTAGAAAAATCCCTCCTAACCCCTATCAAGGAGTCACTTCTAGCCATACCCACCCTGCAGGGCAGCAAGAATTGTCCTCACAGGGTTCTGAGGCTGCATTCTATCCCGATGGAAGCAGACTGGCACATCTTTCTCCCAAGGAGCACCTGGTGGGTTTGAACTGCTGACCTCTGGACGCACAACCCAATGTTGAATCCACTGCACCACTACTATCCCTTAAGCAAATCAATGGGGGGGGAGACATATTAAAATTAAGTTCCCCAAGGGAAAATAGGGGGTAAAAGGAAATGAGAGCCAAGTAACAACTTCTCCAACTTGATAAGAAGAACACGCGGACTGTCGATATTTGGATAAACTCACTGCCAACGAGTCAACGCTGACACACAGGGAGCCTGCAGTTCAGAGTAGAACTGCACCTGTGGGCTTCTGAGACTTGAGCTCATTACAGGAGCAGAGAGCTCCAAGGGAGTGGTTGGTGGTTTCGAACTGCTGACCTTGTGGAGTACAGCCCAATGCAGAACCACTACACCACCAGGGCTCCCTATATTTAGATAATCATTAAATAATCACATGCATCAGAGCACTCTTCTAAACTACAATATACAACTTACTCTAGAGCAACTGGTCATCTCTTTGCCCCACCATCCCACCCTCAACCTTGTCCCCAGCACGGCCATCTTCTGGCTCAGGAAAGGTACGGCCATGCTCCCAGGGGGCAGTGTTCCGAGGCCATCCCTGTTTGTTCTAACAGTCTGTGGATCTCACTGGATTTACCTGACCCTGCCATCTGAGGACAAAGGCATTTTTAGTTCTTCCTTTTCCTCGTGTTACTACATTGGGTGGGATCTCGCTCCAGGGCTGCAACAGTGGGGACATCAGACACCCTCCTTCCTTCGCTCAGAGGCAATGTCTCAGTCGTCGGCCATTGAGGAAGAGGTTTCCGTGAGTCAAGTATGAGTTTACTGTTTGCCAGGCAACGTACGTTGGACCTTGAATCAGGAGAGACCAGTCCCTGGAGAAGGACATCATGCTCGGTAAGGTCAAGGGGCGTCCGAAATGAGGAAGGCCCACGGCAGGAAGGATTGGCACAGTGGCTCAAAGATAAGAACGATTGTGAGGGCAATGTAGGTCTGGGCAGTGGTTCATTCTGTGGTACACTGGGCTGCTGCTATACGTTGGCACCAACTCGACTGTACGGAACAACAAGAAGCCACAAGGGTAGTTGGGTAGGTGCAGCTGGGGCATTCACTTAGCTGCTTCACTCTGCTGGAACCAACCTCAATCTGTGCCCTTTGTCATCGGTGCTAGCTATTGTGAAGGGTGTCCTCGTGGCATGGTAGTTAAGTGCTTGGCTGCTACGCAACAGGTAGCAGGGTAGAGCCCACCAGATGCTCTGTGGAAGAAAGACGCGGCATCCGACTTCAGCAAAGATGAGAACCTAAGGAAGGAAACTCTCTCTATAGGCTGTTGTGTTAGGTGCCATCAAGTGGGCTCCACCCACAGCAACCTGACGCCCAAGAGAAGCAAGCACTGGGCAGTCCTGCACCATCCTCACAGTTGTTCTGTGCCCACCGGGCAGCTCTCCTCTGTGAGCTGGAATAGACTTAGCAGCAACAGGTTTGGCTTTGGCGTAGCTCTTATGGTAACTTGTGAGTTCTAAGAGGGCATCCTGGGAAGACATGAGAATACATTCACTTTGCACGCTTATCTCCGAGTTCCAAGAGAAAATGGCAAGGTATAGTCAGGTCCTCTACTGATTGGGTTGCAAGATAGCTGCTGTAGCAGCGTATCACGTCGGTGTTCAGAATAGATCGATTAAAGTCACTCAGCTTCTATCAAGCCACTTCTTTCCATAATCTGTTATGGAAAATCTATTAGTCCCGCCTTTCTGTTTTTTGTCTTTACATCGGCTTTGTCTGATAAAGTTTGGCTAACCTGGCTTTGCTAGTATTTGCATGATATTGTTCATCTTTCCATTCTTTTACTTTTAACCTTTCTCTCTCCTCATATTTAAGTGTATCTCTTATAAATAGTATGGAGTTCAGTTTAAAATAATAACATTAGCCTTTCATTGGAGAAAATAGTCCACATGAATGTAAGATAATTGTTTTTTTGTATTTGGATTTATATTGACCATCTTATATTTATTTTCTATTTGACTTGCCTATTTCATTTTCATTATCTTTTTATTTGGTAGAAGCCCTGGTGGCTTAGTCGTTACTTGTTGGGCTGCTAACTGCAAGGTCAGCAGTTCAAAACCACCAGCCTCTCTGCAAGAGAAGATGATGCTTTCTACTCTTGTGAAGAGTTGCGGTCTCAGAAAGCCCAAAGGGCAGTTATGCCCTGTCCTGTGTGGTCCCTATGAGTCGGCGTGGCAGTGAGTTTCTTGAGAGTTGTCTCTGGTAAATCTTTTCCTTATCCCATTTCCCTTTATTGGCATACTACTTATACATAATACATTACTCTTTTCATGATGATCCTAAAGAGGATAGCAGGCATCCTTGAGTTATTATAGTTTTATTCAAACGATAACTTCTACACCTCCGTGGTAATGCCACAATGGTACAGCGCTTTATGTAGATCGACTGTGCCATTGGCTGTGCTATTTTGTGATTCAGTTTTAATGTTCTCTAGATTCTAAACGTCATGAATCATCAGGACTATTGTTTTGTAGATAGATAATATTTGCAAACCCCTTTTGTGGTGAAAACATGCGCAGCCAAACATACCCAGGACTTCTACACAGACATTCCATGACCTTGGCTCCGTTCTGTACACTGTGCTGCCTTCCTCCTTGCAAAGGATTCTAGCACCATTGAACTAGGCTCCCTGCACCCTGAACTTCTCACCTGGCTTCTAAAGCTACTATTGTCAATGGTCGCGGAAAAGATGAATAAAATGGATGTAGAGATGAGACTAGGATCTCTAGAAGAATTTAAGTGGATACCTAGAACTGAAGCAATCGTATTTTCTGTTATCTGCAAAAACTGGATCCCCTGTGGGTGGGTCTAATTCTATTGTGTGTTTTTCTCTTGCTTCTTGCTCATGCCGTCC